TATCAGAAATAGAGTCTTGAGCTATCCAGTGGTGGTGTGGTGGTGAAGGTAGCTGGATTCCACATGGTCAACTGCATGGTTTGAGTCTTGGACCCAATAGCTTAAAAAATACACTGGCACATGTGTGCACATGCCCAAAAACCTGAAAGGGAGAAAATAGAGGAGAAGAGATTGTGGAATGACCATTCCCTATGGGGGATACTGTCTCACTTTCTATTTTTCTCTCTCTCTGGTGAGTCCACTAACTCTCTGGCTAATTTTTTTAAAAAACGGAAAAAAAATAAAACTAGGTGGTCCAGTTTGTGATGTGATTATTTAGGCACTGAATTCCCACATGGCTGACAACAGTTTGAGTCCCAGACCTAATGACTTGAAGATCACTCCTAGCACATGTGTGTGCATGCCCAAAATCTTGAGAAGAAAATGAAGGACAAGGAATTGAGGTGTGGCTATCCCCCTGGGTTGGGGTAGGGGGTGATTTCTCACTTTAACTCTCACTGTCTCTGTCTCTCTCTGGTGAGTACACAGGCCCTATGGTAAACATTAAAAAAAAAGTCTTTAGCATTTCTTTAGCTCTAATCAGATCAGAAAGCCAATTCCAGAACCCCCAAATCAATTAAGGGAACATGTCCTTAAAATTCTGTTTCTTATGGACCAGATGGTGGTACAGCAATGAAGTGAGTCCCTCTCCAAGGCAATTTTACAGTTCCTAGTTAAAGTCCAGAGACCTGCCTAAATCACCAGGCATCATGTGTCCATGATCCAGGGCTGACTGAAGGCTAGAGGTGGACTGTAGCAACAAAAACATAGTGAGGGGGACCAGCAGTTAGCGTAATGGCTATGTCTCTGGACTCCCATGTAGCTGACCACGGTTCGAGTCTCAGACCTGGGGGCTTAAACTCATGCAGGGCGCATGTGCATGTATGCCCAAGATTCCGAGAGGAAAATGGAGGAGAAGGGATTGTGGTGTGGCCATACCCCCTTGGGGGCGGTGATTTCTCGTTTTCTGTCTCTCTGCCTCTCTCTGTCTTTCTGGGGAGCACACGTGCCCTATAGCAAAAACCCTCTCCCAAAAAAAAAAAAAAACTTATTGAGGGTGCTGTCTCCCTCTCTCTTTCTCTTGTTCTTGGAGGAAATAAATAAACTTAAAAAAACATATTGTTCTTTAGAACCACTCCTGGTATGAAAATCCATATTAGTTAGTGTTTTCCAGAGAGACAGAACACATATATTTATTTATAGATCTATTAAACAGGATTTACTAGAAGGCTCCTGGCTTTCCACCTCATTCAGTGTAAAAGCTGAAGTCTTTACAGTGGTTGAAGGTCCTGCACCCTTGGATGCCAGTCCTCTTCTCTCTGACCTCATGTCTACTAGCCTCCCCTCTCTCTCTGCTCCAGCATCCTGGCTTCCTTGCTGTTCCCAGGACATCCAGGAACCTATCTTCCTGTTCTCTCTGCCCAGAACACTGTGACCTCTGCTAGATTCACATGGTTCTCCCCTCGAGTCTGCAAGCCTTCACTCCAGCATCATCTCAGGAAAGCCTTCCTTGACCATAGACTTAAAATCACCATCCCCTTTCCAGTCCCCCCTGCCCCCACACAATCTCCTCTGTCCCTCCCTGCTTTAGGTTTCTTCTTTAGCACATATTCCTATTTACCTAACTATATCATCTTTTTATCTAGTGTACCATGGGTTCCTGACTAGGATGCAACCTCACCAAGTCCGGGCTTTTGCCTAGTTTGTACATAGCTGTCTCCCCAGTGCATACCCCGGTCATGCTCAGGCCTCAGATTCCAGGATTTGGGTCAGGACTCGAGTCTCTCCCACTTACCCTAGTATCCCTGGCACTCTGGGTGAAGAGAAATGAACGTGGGCATCAGTGGTGACTTTGTTCAATCGACATGCACTGAGCACCTGGCACCAACAGCATGGCCTTTGAGCCCAGCTGGTGCATTTTGTTGGGGAGTTACCCCACCACAGAAGGCCAAGGAATACGAAGCGGATTCGTGTGCCTCTGATGTTTACTAGGAGCCCCCTCTATGATGTGCTTTCCACAGCCACCACAAAATCAGGTCCTGTACACACCGTGACCCATCCTAACAAACATATCCATAATATGATTAAGCTGGCGAAGTGGAGCTAGGCAGCACCGTCTCACCAGGTCAGTCCCACCACTGGGCTAGTTCAGCTATGATCCTTGTTTTTCACCCTGGAGCTGCCTCTAAGTCAGCACATGGCACCATGATGAGGACCTTGCCTTATGGAATTGTAAGTATGGGGGGACTTCAGAAAGTTTCTGGAAAAATGGAATTAAAATACAAGTTTATTTTGGTACACATAAATAAATAAAATTTTGTAACATCCATTTTCCATAAACTTTATTTTTATTTTTATTTATTTATTTATTTATTTTCTGTAGGGCATGTGCACTCACCAGAGAGAGACAGTGAGAGAAAGAGAGGGAAAGTGAGAAAGCACCCCCAGGGCTGCCTCAATCCCTTCTCCTCCATTCTCCTCTTGGGATTTTGGGCATGAGTGCATAAATGACCTGTGAGTTCTTCAAGCCAGCTGGTCTGGGACTCAAACCGGGTAGTCGGCCATGTGGGATGCAGCTGCCTTACCTCCTTGCCACTTGCTATCCCCTCTGTGAACTTTCTGTGATTCTTGTACTATCATAGCAGCTAACCTAATGCTGGCTACAAATTGATTAAAGGTTTTTAGAATGAAAAATACCTTTCCCTAGCGACATCGGCTCTATCGTTATCCAAATAAACCACTTAGGGCAGACAAGGCAAATGGCTGTGAAAGGAAGGAACTATAAGACTGAAGAGTGTGTTCCCCCAAACTTCACTTTCAAACGGTAACCCAGGTGCTAGTATTAGAAAATGTGGGCCCTTAGCGGTCTTTAAGTCATGGAGGTGAGCCCTAATGAACGGGACTAGAGCCCTTATAAAAGTTGGATGGGTCCAGCAGGTGATGTACTGGTTAAGGCGCTAGATTCACACATAGTTGACCGTGGTTCAAGTCCCAGACCTGGTGGCTTGAAACTCATGCAGGGCAAGTGTGCATGCACACCTAACATCATGAGAGGAGAATGGAGGAGAAGAGATTGCAGTGTGGCCATTCCCCCTGAAGGGAACATGCAAAACCTTCAATATATGCTATTTTTAATGCTTAAAAAAATGAAAAAATGATAATGTCTGTGAAGATGGGACCCTTGCCAGAGAATCTGCTAGTGAGAAGTCCGTGTTTTATAAACCACTTAGTCTACAGTATCTTTGAGAAGTCCGTGTTTTATAAACCACTTAGTTTCGTGGATTTGGTCCCACCAGCCACAGGGCTGATTTCTGTCTCTCTGTCTCCATCTCTCCAGCAAGCGCTCATACCCTATAGCAAAAATATCTCTCAAAAAAAAAAAAAAAAACCCCAGATAAAAGGAAGTGCAGGGTGGAGACAGGGTGCAGAATTGGGGGATGCTCCATCACCCCTGCCACCACGTGAAGACCCAGCAACAGCATAATGTCTGTGAGGTACTCCATGGAATACTATTCAGCCATAAAAACCAACAAGGCCTTGGAATTTGATAGAACGTGTACAAATATGGAAGATTTGTTGCTGAGTGAAGCAAGTCAGGTTATGAAAGAGAGACATTGTATGTCTCCACTTAACGTATACTCACTATCCGCACTTTATGGCAGAGACTGAAAGACTGGAGGACATACAAGCATTAAAAATTGTTATACACTAGCGTCAAAGTGGAAAGAGTGTGGGAGGGGAAGGGCATAGGAAAGGAAATTTGGGGGAAAAATAGGTAAGACATTTGTGGGACACAGATATGGTTTATTATCTACTGATGAGGACGTGTACAGTATTCTCAACCAGGCTGGACTGAAGTGTATACCATGCTGGGTAAAGTCTCTTTACAATCCAAATGATCTATAGTGACTAAATGTATAAATAATAATTAAAATTAATAAAGAATGTATGCTGCAACACCTCTTCAGGCCTAAACTCCAGTACTTCTACTGTGACATATCTGACATGCTATTAGTCTAAGCAAGTCATAAGGCCAGACCAGTACCAAAGAGTATAGAATTAGATTCTGCCTCTTGATTAGAAGAGCATCAAAACCATAATGCAAAGGTGCGTGGAAATAAAGAAGTGTGGTTTGTTGCATTTATTATTGTACTGTCTACCACAGGGGTATTTCAGTGAATTAAGCAAACTAGTGAACGGAGTATCGTCACCTCACACGTACTCAGGAACAGAAATCATTACCTTAAGTAAAAATAAACAGCAACTATGTGGCCTGGAGTGTACCCTAAGGCCTGATGGTATTATCAATTTGGGGTGATGCTGACACAGGAAAGGTTTATTTTAGGAAAGATTGCCTTTAGTCAGGACAAGATCAGAAAGAATGTGGGTGATTACTAAGCTGTTCCTTGAAGAGCATGTAGGAGGCGTGAATGCCCAGTCTAATGAATACCAAACCATAAAAAATACATGACCAACAGACATTGCAAAGATTATGAAACATGCAAAACCTTCAATATATGCTATTTTTAATGCTTAAAAAAAATTAAAAAATGATAATGTCTGTGAAGATGGGACCCTTGCCAGAGAATCTGCTAGTGAGAAGTCCGTGTTTTATAAACCGCTTAGTCTACAGTATCTTGTCACAGCAGCCACAGGGCTGTGTACCCAACATGTGCGGCAGTCCCTTAGATCGGCGAGGCTAGCCGCCCCAGGATCTGGGCAGCAGGCAGCCGCTTCCCCGCAGAGGAAACCGAGGCACGGAGAACTTAGGCAGTTTGCCGGGCTCCCTGGCCCTGTGCGGTCCCAGGCAGTCTGGCCCCAGAGTTCCTGCTTCCATCTACAGCTGTAATATAAAACATTTAAGGAGCCAAAACGACCACCCTGCGGCCAGAAGCAAGGGCCCCCGGAGCCGCGGAGCGCGGGCCGCGCAGCGGGCGGGCGCTGCGGCCGCGGCGGGTCACCTGGGGTCGAACTGGAACTGTTTAATGCTGCACTCGAGGGTCTCGAGTATCCTCCGGCACTCTGACTCAGGCGCGTCGCCCCTGCTCTCCGGCCCAGCCTGGGACATGTCCGCCCCGCACTGCGCCTGCCGCCTAGCTGCACGCTCGAGGGCGTTGGAGTCCCGAAGCCGGCATCGTTGCCATGGCGACTCCACGGGAACGGCGGAAGCGCGGAATCCGTGGGCGGGGGGGGGCGGGGCGGGGGCCGCGGCGGGCCGGTGTGGG